CCCCCCTTCCCGCACTAAAATTTATGGATTTTAATCGTTCCATGTTTTTCACGGTTTGGACTGGCCGTTGCTTCAGAACGTTTGGTTCGGCCTATCAACGGCCAAAATTTTTATCAGTTTAACGCAGTTCAGCCGTCTCACTTGGACCGTCCATTTTTCATTCGGCCTTCTAATGGCCCTTGCATTTCAAAAGAGGAAGTTATTGATCTTTTTACCAGCGGGCCAGTAACTGCTCTTTTTAACAGCGATTGGTTGTTTTTGTACCATTCGGACTGTTTCCGAGCGCGCCCCCCCCCCTTCTCGCAGAAACCAGATTACAGAAGGGATTTTGATTGGATTAGAATAGGGCTGGTTAGTTTGCTTGCGGAAAGCTTATTTTGCTAACCTTTAATAGTTTTGAAAAATTTTAGTACTATTAATTCGTAGAATATTTTCTCTTACAAATGATTACTGTTGCGGAGAGTCCCCAACATGCGAACTCTACGAATAAATAAGTTGCGCAAGCAAAATAATACATCAGGCATTTCTTTTCTCGAAGTTTTTTTAAAGAACAGAGAAATTAGCCCCAAAAAATGACCATCGGAAAATGCAGCGTCGAATAAAGCAAAGAGGGGAGAGGGGATGGGGAGGAGAATGCTATTAGCTGCTTTGAGGATGCGAAATTGGACAGAGAACTGGAAAATAGCTGGACAAAGTACTGTTTGGCACTTCGCCAAATAACAATTCCATAATCATCTTTTTCTGAACTTTTTTACTTAACCCACAGATATTCGAAAGCAGTCCGACTGGTCGTTTCTTTTATTTTGATAAACATCAGCGGCGTGAAGCACACGTTTTTTTAGGTCAAATTTATCAAAATATGCATTCAGTGTGGTGTGTTTTTTAGGAGAAACAACAGTATGATATGAAAAATATCCGTCGCCGTGTCTACGATGCATTAAATGTTTTAATGGCGATGAATATAATTGAGAAAGAGAAAAAGGAAATTCGTTGGGTTGGACTGCCCACATCGTCTGTGCAGGAATGCCGGAAGTTGGAAGAAGAGAAGGTGAAAAGACATGAACGAATCCGACAGAAAACTGATCAACTTCAGGAACTTATTTTGCAGGTAAAATGCATAATATTTTGAAAATTTAGATGCCACTTTTTTTCTCTTTCTCTCTCTCCTTTTGTTGAACTCTTTTCTGCTTACCTGAAATCGTAGCAGCTGCTTGGAAAATTTTTACAATATAAAACCTCTAGAGAATTGAACACTACTTTTTCTACTGCATTTTTGATAAATTCTTTAAATTTGGCCCTGGCATGAGCGGTGTTTCCAAGGCAATGTGCGCCAGAAGAAAGAGTTTGGCTGATCATGTGGCAAAAACAGAAAAAAAAAAAATGAGTGAATAAATTGAAAAATATTACTGAGTGATACCTTCGCACTGTGAACAAATGTATTCATTTTCATGAAGTTATGTGGATATGATAGGCTTGGAATAGAAAAGAATGGAAATGTTGCCAGCTGCACAAGTGGTGAGGCGGAACACAGCTGTGAGGTAGTAGCTGGTCAGAGTATCAGATTAAAAGCATGGCCAATTAGGAATTTGCTGAGGTATTGCAAATGAAACAAGGTACTAATGGCGAGGAAACGAAGCTGCCGGCTAAACCCCTTCGTCTTGCCCAGTGGCCCTTCGATTCCGGATGTTGTACAAATGTCCCATCTCCCAATTATTTTGGAAATTTTTGAAAAATATAAACTATGAAAGTTTGTTTGGCGCTGTGGGCCAGCCGATGAAAGGGACACAGTCGAAAATTGTCAGTTGTGGGAAAGCAGTGAGTGCTAATTCAGATACCCAGATATTCAGACCCCAACTCGAGTTCCTCCCTCCGTGATTTGCAACATTGTGATTAGAAATTAAGTAGTTATTGTTTTGTTGGGTCAAATAATTGTGCGGTGGCAGCTTGGGGCTCCTGCCGGTTTTTTTTTCGCAGTTTGTTTTTCTGATTTTTTTTTTGGTTCTGTGTTTATTAGTAAAAGATTGTTTATTAGTTTGGGCTAGCGCCTCGCACCTCCTTCGTTCACCCTTCGCACGTTGCTGATGTTATTTCGCATAACTTTGTGTCCAAAATCCGTCACTTTTGTAAATTATCAAATTATTAACGCCTGATGCACCGTCGTGTTTAGTAGATAACCGTTACAGAGGAGTATGTAAGAATGGCCAGTAATTTTTCTAAGTTTTTAAAAAAAAGTAAAGAATTTTCTAAACGAATACGATACATGTTACATTCCTCCGATAGACAAATAGAAAAATTTGATGAAAGAAGCTGGGTGATGCAGTTTTGATTACAGCAACCTTATTAAAGGGAGCCAGCTGCTTCAACGGTGTGAAAATGCACAACGACGGGATTAAGTATAGCAATGAACGAACTTATATTTTTGCTTGGCTTCTAGCTGGCATTTTTGTAGAAATAAGAAAATTATTTTATTGGTCGAGCAGTATTTCATTTTCAGCTTGTAGCTTACAAGGCACTGGTAGAACGAAATCGTGCACTGGAGCGAAAGGAGGGCCGTCCACGAGAAGACTCGATACTCTATTTGCCTTTTATTGTTATTAACACAGCAAGGAAAACGTTTATCGATTGCGCCATCTCAAACGACAAGTTTGTTTTAGCCATACTAGTCGATATGCTGTCTGGCTCTTAAGATGAGGAATTTCCCACTGAAAATTTCACGTGCCAGTACATAAAATAGAAGAATAGAAGAATTTCACT